ATTGTTCACTTGTGTACACGTGTGAAGATTTTTCACGCGTAGCCACGCGTGTGATGTTGCAACAACACGACCAAACTGTCGTGAAACTTGCTGTCTTTACCTACAAAATTTCGTGAAAGTCCAAGCTCACATTCCACGGTCCCTCACGCGTGAAAAGTCGATTAATTTTCCCCATGGGTAACCTATACATATGTACGTTCTGTCAAACAGTTTACCAATTCCTTATCAGTAAACGGGAGACCAGAACAGAGCCATATCTTGATTGGGGATATATTTGTATAACTTGCATTATGAATAACAACACATTCTATCCTAATCTTCGATCGAATGCGGTACTATACTGTTGCACACCGTCTTATTTTTAATCATCCAGATATACTAAATAGTTCTAAATGATGTCCTACAATATTTTTTTTCTTTGACTATTTCTAACCTGATATAATAACCATTTAATAAGACACCGTATCATGCTCATTGCATGATATTCAGATCCCAAAAGTTAAAAAAGATTCTTTCTGCCATTTTTATGCGTGAAGGTCCAAGATTTAACTGCTCTCGATCAACTCTAGAAAAGTTCATTCATCATCCATTATTTTATTTTAATATACTCTACTATACATGACTAGAAAGTGTACATTTTGAAGTACAGAAAAATTTGCTTTGAGGCATCTCACAAACGTGAAAAAAGGTCAGAAGTTGATTGGAAAAAACGGTTGTTCATGTCAAAGCTCTCCAGTATTATTCGTAAATGTTTTTATTTAAAAACTTTGTAAGAACTCCATTAACAGACTTTTGAATGGAGAATCTTTTTAAATACAAGACAATTTCTCAGTCATCAAAATTGAAGAAATTATGTTATTGCGGAAATACTGAGACCACACTTTATTATGAAATACTCGATATATCAGGATTCGGTATGCACCAGTTATGAACTACTTACTTCTGTTTGTTTTTCGAGCATCGGAAAAAAATTATTATAACGACTTTAATTGTGGCACAGATATGAGCAAGCTAGAATACCATAACTGTGATAAATATTCGTGTCTCTTCAGAAATTCGTTAAAAACGTTTTTGTCTTTTATTCATTCATTTTTTGTTCGTTGTAAACAGATAGAATGTTTCATTTTGCGGGAAAATGAGACGTTTCACAGTTTGAGATGATTCTTAATAATCATCTTAGATGTCCAGATGCTAGTTATTTAAATGGTACATGCCTAATCGGGAATGAGTTTAATCTGCTACGAGATATTGATAATGAGTATTATGTCCGTGTTGCGAAAAGTATCAAACCTAAGGATATAAACAAGTTATTTTATATGATTATATATAAAATGATACATATATATCATTAAACGATATACATGATACGCATAAATTACTTGACTATTGAATTAGGATTTGTTTATCGATATACCATCAAGTGAAAAGATTATTCATAAAGTTAGCGGCTACCCCGCCAATATTATGAGCTAATGGAGCAGGTATTCCAATTCGATTCATTCCTGATGAAATAACATTTGATGCTGCTGCAGGCATATTTAATCCTTGATGATTAAACATACCTCCATAAACATTATTCATACCTCCACTATAGTTTGGATAATAATGATGGTGATGATGGTGATGATGGCCACCATTCATATAAGAATGCATTTGTGCTGCAACCTGCTGATAATGCTGTGCTGTAGCACCACCCATTCCTTGAAAACAAAATAAAAATATTGTAACAAATTTTTCGCAATTTTACAATTGTCGCCTTTTGAATACCTGTGTGATTCATTCTGAAAGATTTTTAAAAAATTTTATACAATTAATTTTTTTTTAAAACTAGTTGGAATTATTTGAATGACGTTTTTTGTACACACAATTAGCACTCTAGTCGGATGTACATTTTGACATTAAAAACCACTCTTAATAGTCAATAGTACACACACACACAAGAGACTTTCCAATGAAAAAAACAAGACTATGCAAATGATAATAAATAAATGGTCACGGTTACTGAACCGTAAAGCATAATAAACCAACTAGAATATTTATGACGTATTGAATATTTTTTATTTTTATAGTAAAAGGAAAGAATCTTACATCAAGCGATATATTTTACGCAATTGTCATATGTATCACATGTCTCATGATTGTAAAGGAAATTTAATTGAAATATTCAATAGACAGATGTATCAATGTACTTGATATGACAGATGAAAACAAATTGAAATACTATCGTACATAGTAATCATACATCAATTTAAAATCATGAATTCTGACTTTTAATAGTTCCTCTTTCAAAGTTTCATCCTATTTATTTAATTACAAAAGCAAAATTCTAAAAATCAATAAAAACCAATTGAGAGTCAATGAGAATGAGTTTGAATTGGTCTTTGAGCAAGTGCAATTGTGTCACTCGCATTTTCCTTTGTCCTACTTTTAGATACATAAGTACAAATAGTAACTGGTGTCTCTCGATTTGGCATAAAAGAATACAATTTATTTGAAACAGCATAATCTTGTTTACTTCTGGTGTTAAGACGACAATTTTCAGGATTTTCAGGTGGAAATCGATTTCGAGTGAATGTTTGTGGTGTATGAAATTGAAGTAGACGATATCGAAGTTGTTTTATGTCAGACTAAAATGATAATTAAAGAGAAAAATAACAAAGTTAAATCGTAAACTTTTAACAAAATTATTGAATCTTAAAAATATATAACGGGTGACGCAAAATGAATTATAGTCGCAGTATTTTGAATTTTTTTCCTCTTCCTTATATTTAATTGAACAAATCTTTTTACGCAAATATAGCGCGTTCAGTTCTCTACAAAATATGTATTTACTATTTGATTACAAAATCCGAAGATGGAAAATGAGATGAGAAATCCTATTACGTACAAACATGGAGAAAGAATTAAAGCATATTCCCAGAAATGAAAATTTTTTCAAATGGTTTCACAAGCATAAGAATGCAGTTTGAGTACACTTTTATATAGTTTTAAGTGTGCGTGCACCCTTTTGTGGCATGCAGCAAAATTTGTTTTGAGTTAGAATATCCGACGCAAAGATTGATTCGTCGGAAATTGGACGAAAACAACAAATGATTTGAATCTTATCTATGCGTGATGATAAAGAAGTCGTTCTCAAATCTTACCGATCCAACAATATAGACTAATCATTGGTCTTCAAAATGAAAAAAAACTCAAAATGAAAAAAAACCTAAAAGGATGAAATTTAACTAAACTAGACTTATTTTACCGAATAAAGCAAATTTCTGGTCGCAACTGATCATTTTTAGAAACTTTTCAAAAAACAATAGTTGTTACGCCCTAAGTTGTATTTTACTTACGAATTTTCCAAGGGTTTCTCGATGGCTACTTCAGCTTTTCTTCCTTCCACGAACGTTTAGCGAATAAAACTTAAAAAGCGGTTGTCTAAAACTTATTTTTTCTCCATTTTTGTACTTCATAAGATTTTTCATCTCATTTTCCATCTTCGGATTTTGTAATCAAATAGTAAATAAATAGTAAATAAATTTTGTAGAGAATTGAACGAACTATCTTTTCATAAAAAGATTTGTTCAGTTAATCATAAGGAAGAGAGAAAAAAATGAAAATATTGAGACTATAATTCATTTTGTGCTACCCGTTATATATATCTATATTTACTCGAAATTTTTTATTCGTAAATCCATAGATAATAGGATTGATGGCCGTATTAGACACTGTTAAATAATGACAACCAATGTAGAGTAATTGTAACAGTAACATATTATTACAAAAATGATAGGGATTTTCTGGATAACAAAATATATTTAAACATAACTGAAAGGCATTCATTGGTAACCATAATGATGCGTATAAAATAATTACGATAACAAGCATTTTAATACCCTAAAAATAATAATAAACACATTGATAAGTTGAATTTAAAATATATATATGTAGACATATGTAAATGATATGAAATGCTTCAATGGTTCAATTTTGCATTTTTTCAAAACTTAGACGAACAAATTCTATTATACAGGGGGGTTAAGATTATTAACCTACCTTTATTTTTCATCTTTCTCTTCAGTCGTAATAACTGGAACAAATTTGACAAAAGTTTTGAATAACTGAAAGTATTTTCAATCGGATATGGTATATATAAAGGTTGCATCGAAATCTTTAAAACCGGGATCTGTGGAAAACCAACATTTCAGAAAATGAAGTCTCCGAGTTTGATCTATAAATTCGTTGCAAATAACTTCATCATATAGAGCAAACATTTCTGAACAAAATGAGACGTTTCAAGCTCTCTACGACATTTTCCATGAAACAGCATTCAATCTACGAAAGGTCCCACACCACCAAAGTTAACAAAACTAATTAGAAAACAAGAAAGATACACCCTTACCGCCTTTCGTAGATTGAATACTGTTTCATGAGAAATGTCGTAGAGAGCTTGAAGACATCTCATTTTGTTCAGAAATGTTGGCTCTATACGATGAAGTTATTTGCAAAGAATTTATAGATCGAACTCGGAGATTTCATTTTCTGAAATTTTGGTTTTCCCCAGTTTCAGAGATTTCGATGTAACCTTTATATACACCATATCCGATTGAAAATTCTTTAACTTTTTAAAATCTTTTGTCAAATTTGTTCTAGCTACAATGATCGACGAGAAAATTGAAAAAGAAAGGTGGACGAATAATTTTTTGAATGTATATTGCTATTTATGTTGTATGATTTTTTTATTATGTTTTTCTTTTTGAATTGTCAATGCCATTCATCAGCAAAAATCAAACAATAGAAACAAAATGGAAAAAAAGTTGTTCATAATAGAAGAGCACACACACACACACACACACAACAAACAAGATAATCTCTCATCATCAATAATCCTAATAGAATAGATGATAAATAAATTATGTTGATTGAAAAAGATAATACAATCTAATAATGATAGATTATTACTCTAACATTTATAAACAATTTTCGTTAAGATACGTACTATCATTACAAAGGTTTGTTTTGTTTTTCGGTATGTAAAAAAATAGAATTATCTATTTATTTTTTCTTCTTTTTTTTATTCATTCAAACAGACATACAACATATTTTTTATTCTATTAATACTATCTGATAAATAGAATGATACTGTTTTCCTGTGATACAATATCATTATTAAAGTATATTTTTCTATTTTCCTGTTATGATTTGCTATCTATTCTTGTCAACCATTAATCGAAAAGAAAATAATAATAAATTCAATTGTTTTGACTCTTCAAATTTAGATTGATTGTTTTTTTTTAATTGATTTCTTTTACCTGTTTTAATTTTTTTTTAAATTGTGCATCATTATGTGAATGAATATAAGCATGTTTTGATGGTGTTGAATTATTTGATCGTCTCCAAAGTATTGCTGATATTCTTAGATAAACAAATGCTAATATAAATAATGGTATAAAATATGTTTGAATAGATGTTAAAATTGTTCGTCGAACTTCATCAGAATTTTTTGCTTTATTTGGTACACATTGTATAGTATTAACTATTCTATAATCAAATGTTATTAATACATAATCATATGTATGTGATTGTATTGAACTATCATTCAGTGAATTTATAAAATTTTCATATGATATACGGGATGAAACCCATACACGTTTTTCATCTAATGGTTGTGAACGTGCTGGAAACCAACAAATAGCAATTAATAAACTAACAATCCAAATAATTATAAGTGCAATTGAATTTCGTTTTTTAACAGGATATAATTTACATTCAAGTGGATATTTGACAACACAATATCGATCAATTGCAATTGTAATAAGTGTTAATAGGACACCGGAAACCGAAAACATTTTTAATGATTCTAATATAATACATAAATATTTTGGATATAACCATCGTTGAAATATGACCGATGTTATTGTAAATGGAATGCAATAAACTGTCATTATAATATTAAATACACTTAAATTTAATAGAAATGGTGATAATGCTGTTCTTGATCGTCTACCAAGCATAAATACAAGAATAGCAATTAAATTTGTAAAAAATGATAAACCTATCATAAATGCATAAGATATTAGAATAATTATTTCATATGTTTTTAAATCTTTTAGATTAAGAAATGTTAAAGAATATTTTAAAAGTAAAGTAATATTCTGATCGACAGTCTGATTAGAATCCATTCAATCAATAATAAATCATTAGATTATCTAAAAATAAAACATCAAATCAAGAACATTAATAAAGAAAATATAAAAAAATTTTTAATAAAAATATTTTTATTTTAGATATTTTTTTAATCTAACAAACGTTGGCTCATTCTTAATTGAGATCACTTTTTATACTTAAAGAAACAAAAATGATCACAGTTTGAAAATGGTATATTCTAGCAATTTTGAAAAGTAATATCAGTTTGGAAAAAGATGTTTCTATTACGAAAAAAATGATTTCAGTTTGAAAAATGAGCTTGTAGTTCCAATTTTAATAAAATATGGATTCCTAAACTGTATATAATATAAATTGTATATAATACACAGAAGTGAAGTGAAAGTCTAAAACATTGTATTCAAATATCTACGCTAAACAAAAGTTTTTCTTACATTAAACTCAAAGGATAATGATAGTATTTTATACAAAAGTTATCTTTATATTCAAGATCAATACATAATGATGCTGTATTGACTACTGCCAAACAAAATTATATGCGTGGCCATATAGCAGATCTAGAAGATTTACAGAAATTGTTAAGACCATTAAGTCATCGTTAACTTACATCAAATTGTTTGAGAATACAAAAGACGACGATGAATATGAACCAAAACAATGAGGCAAACAAAGTTAATTTTTTTTGTATTTTTCTTCTGATAAAAATAGTTTTAGAATCCATATTTTAATAAAGTGGAACCTACAAGCTATAAAGCCTTCACTTCACTCTCTCTTGTATATGAGAGAAACGTAACTTTCTAGTACAATCACTTGTTTAGATATGTTTCTATAATAACTCAGGTTACAAGAGGCTCGCTTGAGCAAATTTTTTCCTGTGCTTTGCCTAGTACTTTGCCCACTTC